TAGGTTGCATTTAGAGAAATAGTTTTTTGACGACAAGTGAGTCAGTATGTGAAAGTCACAATAATTTGTAAATACCTGGCATATATACAATAAAGACATGCCATGCTGACCTGACTGCAGGTTAAAAAAAAAAAATTATTAGTTAAAGAATTATATTATATAAAAATTATAAGAGACTCTTTAAGTTAATTTGGAGTAAATAAATTAAAGTCCAAATTAGTTTCTTTAAATTAGATTTAAGAAACAATATTTTGCTTTTTTAATAAATTAATTGTGATTTTTATTTATTAAAATTATTATTTATAGTTTATTATTATAGATTATTATAAAAACAAAAATTATTAAATTATTATATTGGAAAAAAAAAAATAATTTAAAGATTTTCAAAAGGTTTTAATTCAAGTAAACAGTTTTTTCTCAAAAAGAATTTATTTAATTTATATTTTTTATTCTTTTTTATAAATTTTTTTAAACTATTATAATTTTTTATTGATTTATAAATTTTAGTATTCTAGTATAATATATTATAAGTTTACTTTAATATTTAATAAATAACAACAATAAATTAATTAATATAAAATTGAAAATATTATTTTAAATATTTTATAACAATAAAAGTTAAAATATAAATTACTATTTATAAAAATTGCAACTAAATATATATTTCTAAAAGAAAAAACAAAAACAAAAAATCATTCATTTCTTACTAGAAAATATTAAAAATTGTAAATTAAAAAAAAATAATATATGATAATTTTCAGTTCTTTAAATTATTGATTTATAATATTTTTTGAATTTTATCTTTATTAAATATAATTAATCCAATTTATATATTAAATATTTCAGAAATTTATTATTAGTTGCAATATCAAAAAGTAAACATCCAATTTATTAAATAATAAAGTATTTATACTAAATATTTTTTATTCTATATACTATAGATTAGACTTAAATTAGTTCTTTAAATAACAATGATTCTCCAGTGATCTGTAAACCTTTATGTAGTATAAAAAATATTTATTCCAGCAGTTTCAAAACATAATTTATTTAATAAACTAGCTTGGAAATGGCCAGTTTTAAAAAATATATACATATACGTATATATTATAATTTTATGGTTTAAATATAACATGAGATAACTTTATTGTAAATTTTTAAAAATAAAAATTACAAATTCTTTGAAATAAATATACCTATAAATTCTTATTTGGGAGTTTTTTTTTTAATCCAATATTTAAATATTACAAGCATTTAAGCATCAATTGATAACTGTATATAATTCTAGTTAAAATTATTTCGTAAATATTTATAGAAAAATAAGATTTTTTTTTAAGTAGGTATCAGATTAAAATAATGTCTCGTTATCCATATATGCATAAAAATTTGTCAAATTAGTAAGGTTCCTCGAAGACTCATCGTGTACTGGAGGTATTTTTAAGCCAAAAGTGCCTAATGTACTTCATTGGTGCAATAATTGTGGAGGGCGGAAGTATAATTGTATGGCAGGTAAAAGAGTAAATAAAGTTTTTATGTTCTTTAACTTCCGAAACTATTGATCGAGTACCTATTTATCTTTTATCGCATAGTTTCATATTATAATTTTGATTTTTTTAAAGGTGCAGACGACAGATCACCTATGTAGAATTCTCTTAGTCTCTCTCTTGCCCTGGCGGAATGAATGGCGTTGAATTCCTCGGTGACGTCAGTTCCGGCATTTATCAGGATAGCAGCTTTGCCTGCATAATGAGATTTAATCAATATTTAGATGCTTAATAACTCATTACTAATATCAATAAAACATACCACCCGGATGTTTTCTCAGGAAATTCGTTGCATTGTAAACTTTTTTATCAATAACAATCCAACAATCATTCTCGTTATTATGCTTCGATACTTGTTCCAAACTATATGTTTTTACGTTACTCGACGTCTTGATTGGTACCGCAATTTTAATCGATTCCTTCTTAACCATCCATCCTTCATGGTTATTACCAGGTTGAGTTGGATGTTCAAATCTTAGACCAAAAAATCCTTTTTCATCAACGAACGAATGGACTTTCACTTTATAATGACAATTGTTCATCATACCCATAACATTCCATGTTGGATCGCGTGGTTGGGTATTATGAGTTGAATCCCACGCACGCACAGAAATCTCATTGCATCGGATCAATGAGTGAAATGGAATTGATATGGACCAGAAACTCCAGCACCAGAATCTTGGCAATGGATTCATATTTCGTTGAAGAACTAAAGGAAAATCTAGTTCAGGCTGTGAGAGTTTTGTGAGTAGCCATGTGTTGCCGTAATCCAACGATACTTCGACACGGGTTAATTTCGAGCCATTTCCTGTATAAGCGTAACCTTTAACCTTATATTCAAAATTGCTAGCAAGGCCTGACAACATTAAACGTTCACCATGTGCCGGCGATGAAATTGCAGAATTAATATTGAGTTTATATATGATGTAATCAGGGTTATGCCAGATATTTTCTCTAGTTGCGCGTTCGGAATCGTACTCAGGTGGAAGAACACGATTATCGCGAAAATGATAATAACTATTGGATTCTCTGTCAGAGATGGTGATTCTTCCGAGCCATTTGACGGTTCTGCCACCAATACATCCGGGAAGAATTGTACGCACTGGAAACCCATGATCCGGGGTCAATCTTTCTCCATTCATCTCATAAGCAAGCAACATATCGTTGGCTTCGTTCATTACCCATTCTAAAGGGAGACTTGTACCATAAAAACCGTTTGGCAATTTATCAACACCTTCGAAGCAGACATACCGGGGTTGCTTGGGATCAACCTTAACACCAGCTAATTTTAGAACATGGTGTAAGGGTACGCCTTTCCAGACGGCAGTGCTTGTCGCTGCAGCCCCCCAGTTGAAACCAATAGTTTGCTTTATCATATTTTGTTCTTTTCGGCGGTTTCCGGCACAACACATAGTCACAGGGAATGCGAGATAAGGAAGGTTGGTGATGTCTTCCATCGATAAGTTCAAAGATGTTTCCACGAGCCTATAGTTATTTAGGTAACATGATACACATTAACAATGTCACAACAAACAAAATCCAACATTAAGGTATTATTACCCGTCAATTATCACACAATGAGTATCCCATGAGAGTTTCGGCACAGGACCATGATTTCTTACGTAATGTAAAGGTGTGGGTGTGATAAAACCTTCTTTAATCAATAAGGACAGCGGAGCCTCAGCATTAAATGGATGTTTTCCTGTTAGTCTTATCATCTCAGGGTGACGCGGAACCCAATTGTCAGGGGTATCCTTGTCACGAGGATCTATCTTAGAGATTGATGAGGTTTCTACGTTTGAAATGGACGACATTTTTGTGAATTCTAAACAAAAAGAAAATGAGAGACGAGCATGCAGTCAAAGCGGTGCATTGAAATTTTTATTATGAACCGACCGTTTATATACTTACCAAAAAAAAAAAAAAATTAATCGGTGGATTCACAAAACAAAAAATAATTATGCATTTCATTTTCAGGTGTAAATGTTACCAGCTATCATTTAACTACGCGATCGCCAACCATTTTTACAGAATAGCGAGAGATAAGATAAAGGTGCAGCCACATGTTATCTTATCTATTAATTTCTTCTATACAAGACTGGAATGGCGGAAAAGCATCCTGATTTCCTTCCTTTTTTTTTTTTTTTTGATAACGACAATAGCATTGAAGGATCAGATAAGAGTGGTATCTATCAGATAATGCACCTCGATGAAAATGGTATCCAGTTGTCAATTGGGATCTGATAAGGTCCGTACATTCTAATGCTCCAAGAATATTGCACGCACAACTATTTTTTTTTGTGTTACTCGTCACTAAAGGTTCCGTAGCGTAACAACTTAACTGTATCGAACTTCTATCACGCTATATTAACAACAGATTATTCTAATAAAAATGATTTCCAAGTTTTAATGTTTTTCTTTAAATGTTTGTCTCGTTGTATTAAAATACTATTGGTAGTTAATTATACTATATAAATACATACAGTTTTTTTAATACCCTTTGTCAGGTTAGTTGCGTGTTCTTTATTAAACATTTGTAGGCTGCACATAAATTTATGTATTGCTAAAGCTGATCGCTTCATAGTTTATATAGTATATACAGTATACATAAAAAAAGGTTGACTTTCTAGTAAGACAAATCACTAATAAATAAATATTGAGAAAATATATATATAAGATATAAATAAAGAAAGCAAGTTTCAAACAAGAATTAATAATTAATCATTATTAATAAAGTTGAATTGATAGTTTCAAATAATATTATTAATAAAAGTTGAATCTGCAGTATTAGTTATAATATTATTAGTAATTTTAATTAAAAATTTTTATAAATAGCTAAGTATCTATTTTTAAATAGAATAATTTTTAAAAAAACTGATCTAAGAATAAGAAGAATAATAATAATAATAAAATATTAATTTATAACTTATTAAGATTATAAAAATCGAATAAAGAAATTATTCTTAAATAAAATTATTATCAAAATAATATAATATAAACTTAAATAGTTCTGTCGAACAGTTTATAAAATAAATAAATAATATATTAATAATATATAATAAAAATGATAAAATAAAATAAATAAATTAGAATTAATAAATTAAAATCTATTAGTAATATTTATTTATTTATTTTTTTTGTATACCCGTAGCCAGGCTAGATTGTCAGTTTATTAATCAATTGAAAACATAAATACATTTTCATTTCAGCAGCATAATACATACTATAGCTAAACTTTTATCATAATCTAACTAACTTGTCATAAGCATAATAGCCTCTAAGTTCAACCTTGAGGACAATATTTTGCTCTACAGTATCTTTAAATAAAGACCATCCTAGTCCACCGCATCATTGCCAACAAGTTGTCACTGCCATTCTATTAGTAATATTTATAAAATCTTATATATTTATATATATTATACTCTGGCTTTGCCATACTTTATTGAAACTCATAGAAGTAACAGGAATTAAGCTAATTCAAAAACTATATATCTAAATTTTCTTATATAATAAAATAAAAACAATAAAAGATCTTCTTTAAGGATTATTTTACTTTGTAGTTAAGCCACCTCTTTAAAGATCAAAGGATTAGCATGTAATCTTACTAATGTTAAAATAAATTTCAAATATATAAAAATAAAAGAATGAAAAATGTTATATTCCTGGTATGTGCTATCTTTCAAATAGTTTGTCAAAATTTAAATCTATTAATAAAATTGTGTTCAATACCTTATTAAACTTCTTAGACTAATTATTCTTATAATAAGAGAGTAAAACTATACAAGCCTACAGTAATGATCTGCAGGCAATGATTTTATTAATTAGAGGAATTATTCAAATCAGTAAAGGAGTGAAATATCATTCCCTAGGTTGCATTTAGAGAAATAATTTTTTGACGATAAGTGAATCAATATGTGACAGTCACAATAATTTGTATATATCTAACATATATACAATAAAAACATGCCATGCTGACTTGACTGCAGATTAAAAAAAAAATAAAAAACAAAACTATACAAGCCTAAATAGGAGTAAAAATTTTGGATTACAAAAAAGATATCAAAGGATTGAAGAAAATAGTTTATTTAATTGTTATCTATCAATTCTAATTTCATTTTTTCTATACTCTATCTAGTATAAAATCTTTTATGAATATTTTTCTAAGTAATAACAAGTCAAGAATTTTATAAAGGCTTTAAGATATAGAAAAGGTGAAAAAGAGGAGAAGTTTGAGACTCATTATCTATCAGTTTGCCCTTCTTTACTATTGCAATACTACTATTTTAGAAAGGAGAATTTTGATACTTCTAGCATACACTCTGATAAACTTGCTAAATGCTATATTGTTTTTTTCAAAGTATTTAGAAATTGAACCATTGTCTATGATTTTGACATATTTTTCAAATATCTTTAATCCAATAATTGCAAGTTAATATTAATGATTAGGTATAAGTGATCTTGATATTATTTTGATCTTCTAATAGTTTATTGATAAAAGATAGATGTGATACTTTTAAGATATTATTCTTATTCTTTATTTCTTTGAGTCTTATTTTATTTATTTAACTAAGCAAATGAGAAGAAAAATATATTTCTTCTCTTTTACTTTATTAGTAATATAAACGTTAACAATATTCCTTATTTACTTATCCCACAGACTATGATTTATAATAGACTTTAAGTTTTTATAAAGCTAAAGAAATACATTTGAACATATAAGATAAACAATAAAAGTTTATTATATTCCTTTACTAATATGTTTTCTACTAGCCAATTACTGCTTGAGAAGCTTTATACTACTTAAAATTCAAGATCAAACTGAAATAGACAAAATTCCTCAGAAAAATCAAAAAAGAGTACTTTTAGGCAAGTATATAATAAGAAAGTGGATGATTGCCTTCAAAATAAGTTCCTTATTATCAAAAAATCTTTATATAGTTTTTCTGACAAGTGAGTAGATAGTAGTACTTCCGTTCTTTCTTCTTTTAGAACTTTTTTGCTATTAATAAGAAAGATGTATTCATAACTTTTGTTACTAAAAGTCAAGTTTTTGTTTGAATAAGATTGTTTATAAAAGGAAGAGTAGGAATAAAAATAACTTTTGAAGTATTTTTTTAAATTGATTTAAAGAAAGTTATAAGACTTTATTAGTCAAAAAATACAATAATTTCTTGCAAATGTCTTTTTTGTGTGTGATCAGAGAATCTGCAGAAAGAGTTAATCATTATAAAATCTTATATAATAGAAAATAAAAAAAATAATATTTAAATGTGAATTATTTATAAAAATTTATAATTAATAATAAATTATTTTTTTTTCAAATAAAATCAAATTTTTATAAATAAATGGAATAAATAACTTATTAAAAAAAAAAAAAACTATTAAATATTTAATTTATAATGTTATAATATAAAAAATATAAAATAAAATTTAAAGTAGTATTAAGAAATATTAGTAGCATAAGTGAATACAGAACATTACTTCGTTTATATAGCATTTCAATTTAAAGAGTCCATCCAATTATGATAAAGCTTACAGAATATACAATTGTTTTTAAAGTAGTAGTCACTTATTTTTAATCACCCGATAGATTCTTTTCAGTTTCTTCAAATATGCAAAGATTTGATTATTAATCTTTACATTTTTTTTTTTTTTTTTTTTTGACTGGCTTAGCCTTATTTTATTATTTTTTCAAATTACATTTGTACAGAATCTATGCTATACAGGGATGTGTATTCAGTAATAGTAAAACTCGATAAGCTATATGCTACCTCACGGCCTGTCGCCCTTCCTTTTGGGGAAAAGAAACTAACATGCCAAGGCCATGGTAGTTGTCATGTAGAAAGATAGAATGGAGAAAATGTTAGTTTGATATTTTATGTACTCGTTAATGTGTCTATTTACTATTCCGGTTAGGTTTAAGAGAAATTGTTGTGTCGTGATTAGGTCTGTATGGCTTGTAGTTTTTTGTGTCTTGCTTGTTTTGTGTCTGTGATGCTTGGTAGGTCCTTGGGAGTTCTTTGGATCGTGGATTTCTTCACATCTGTTTGTCCATATGTCATATAACAGCTCCTTCCATTCTCTCATCGTATTCATGACTATTTCTGTCACTCTACTGTCATTGGTTATAATTGAATTAAGTGTCTCTGGTATTTCTTTTAGTACCACTCCTCGAATAAGAAGTTTGAATGTTCTAGGGTTGGCTAACTGTATCTGTCTGTATATGACCTCCTTGAAGTTCTTTTTGTATTCTTTGTTAATATATGTTGATGCATGTTTGATAAGGATCCTGTGGAAGTTTTTTCTCAGTGTTTCAGTGTTGTTACTGCACAGGAATGGATGCGTGGTGTCCTCAACTTCACTGCATTTGTGGCATTTGATTTCCTTGTAGATTAGTGGATATTTATAGTATAGCTTGGTCCTGGTTGGGAGCTCTTCATACCAGAGGTTGAAGCTAAATTTTCTCATGTAGTGATCTCTGTGTGAGGTTTCGTATCTATTCATTTTTGATGGATGTATACTGTTGAATGTGTGTTTCCAGTAGATATTTCTGTAGTCTTCATCTGTGAAGCTGTTTTGTGTTCTGTTCAATAATTTCCATTTGGTTAGCCTGACGGCTTTGTTGCTTGTTTCATCAGTTCTTTGCATAGTATGTCTATCTATGTTATATCCCAGACTATGTTTATTGGTGCTGATTCTCTGTGAGATTGTTTTATATTGATGATTTTCCGGTTGGGTTTCATGTCAGGAGAGGTGGGATCAATCCTAGCTAATCTATCAGCTTGCTCGTTGAGAAAGATGCCCGTGTGTGCCT